GTAAACATCGTCTTATGCGTGACTCGTTCTAACTTTCTTTCTCCCCCTAACTATCGCCAGGCACACACTGTCTGGTGAGAGTTAGTGGGAGAAAATTGGCAAGAAGCGTGGGAGAAATTATATGTTTGGTCTTTTTAGACTTAGGCTAGGTGGCGCAAGCTACCGCCCGTTACAAAGGGTATAGCCATTAACATCCGTCCATCCATCCTTTCTTGCGTGTCGGTCCCGTCGCGTTGGTCATACAATAACCGTCTGCAGACGTGTTCCAAGCGTGCATATGTAAAGCGACCGGGCTTCGAGCATGCTTGACATGCTTCCGCAGATAATTTTCTTTTCATGCTTGCAGTGAGCACCGCGACTTTTTGCTGGAATGTAAAGCGGTGTGGCCTTGGCTTTGGCGGGAGCTCCACCTAGAGGGAGTTTCTTGCAGATTGTTTCACACCGATTCCGCGGCAACGCTCTAGCCGTGACCCGCTAAAGGCCGGTTCTCACATGCAGCGGAGCGCTGATGTAGCGCTGCTCACGTGTCGTCAGCTAGTTATCGTCTGCCATGAGCAACAGTTTTGATGGTGTGATGTAAAGCTGGTGAACGCTCCCGTCAGCACGCGCTTGGCGCGAGGTCAGCGCTCTGCTTGTAGCGCTCCGCTACATCTGTGAACAGGCCTTAAGAGAGCCGTACTATCTACATACAAGGCTGGCGCCGCGCATGCGCAGTAGTACAGCGTTTTTGTTGCGCATAACCATAGATTCCATATCAAGAATAAAAATAAAAATATAGGAATATGATAAAATGACTGAAAAAAGAACGAGAATGTCTTTTCTTCATGTTAGTTCAGATTCCATTTGAAGAATATGGCATAACTTAACGGGGGGGGGGGGGGGGGGGGGGGGGGGGGAAAGCGGTCCACGGAAAATTTTTTTATTTCTAGGGACCGAAACAAAGGGTGGCTGCGGTTTCTTTCCAAGGTAATACCGCGCTTCCGAACGAAAATAAAACTACAATCGGAGACTGGTTTCCACGATGAAAACAATTAAATTATGGCGGCCTCTTTGCAGGATAAGGCAGCGCATTATTTCTCTTTTTTTAATTTTTTTTTATGAGAAAACTAATTTGGACCTTAGATTCTATAAATCTGGGGAAGGATTTGGAAGCGGAAAAAAGAAACTCGCGGCTTACCGACACAGAATTTAGCTTGCGATAAAGCCGGGAGTGGGGCGCGGGCACAAAGACACTAGCGGCGATGATCAGAACAAACAGGGAGGATATTACATGGATTAAAGACAGTTTACTTTCTCTAGTTTCAGAATCCGCTCACCTTATCAAAGCGGTCTCCATCTCCGAAACCCTCCGGAGCAATTTTCTCCACGGGAACCAATAAGAAGTTCGATGAGAAGCAAGAAAAGGAAATGCCATCTCCTTGGTAACCCTATAAGAAATAACTGACTCTTGTTTGTCTCTCGCTTTTTTTTTCTCTCTCTCTCTCTTTTCTGGAAGCGAGGACCGTTGGGGAAGCCACAAGAATCCGCTTAAGAACCGAATGTGTTTTGGGGAACGATTTCTTTCGAGGAGGGAGGCCACTCTTAGGAGCCTTGGGGTAATTCGTGCACTTGTTATATATATATATATTTATGTACTTGTATCATTTTGTATTGTTTCCATTCTTCTACCTATATTATGAAAAAGTGTGCCGCAGTGTATTACAAACTTCGACAGCATCTGTTCGCATTATCTTCTAGGTTAAGCTGCGCAAATACCCATGTTTACAAAGCCCTCATTTCGTTTTCGATTCTTTACCAACTTCGGTATCTCTTAAGATGGTCTGTTCTAGGGATCGTAATAGAGGGTTAGGAGATAACGTACATGAGGATGGATGAACACAGCGGCATAGCGATACCGCCGTAGAGCTTGGCCAGTAGCATCTTCCAGTTGTCCAAAATGTAATCTCGAAGGCGGGGGCCGTTGCTTTGGTTTCTTTTGCTTTCTTTTGCTTTCCGATATCCAGTTTTACTCCGACTTGGACCGACACCGCGGCTGCCACTTGGCAGGGTACCTTCAAGAAGCGTGGTGCCAAGACTGCTTCCTGAGCTTTGATTGGATTAAGCGGCTAAAGAGTGTGTTGATTCTGGGCAGCTCATTGGCTGACTCGGAAGAAGCGCGACGTGACGTGTCTGCTTTCCAAGTACGTAATTGGTTCTCTATAACGTTTGTAGCCTCCGCCATGTTCCAACTTCCGTTAAAACGGGACATATTACCTGGCCGCCGAACATATTTCATTTCTGATAGCCGTCGCTGAGGTTCTCAGATATAAGCAGTCTTGTCCACAAGGTTTATCTTTTCCTTTACTTTTTTTTTTCTTGCCTTATTGAATTAGATTTTAGTTCTTGTTCAGTTGGCGGATTTATTCTGGTCTGGTTGTATGTGCCGGTATTGAACCGAAAACGACTTTGGCATTTCATTCGGTTTCCCGTCCGCAACATCTTTTTTCTTCTTTTTTTTCTTTGTTAGAATATGAAGGCCAATGCCGATATTCTCTACATTTCATCGGCTTATATAGATTAGAGACGGTGATTTTTACTCTTCAATCTTCTTTATTTTTGTTTTCCTACAGTCTGCATCTGGTTTCTTTCTTTCTTTTTTTACGCCTGCAAGCCTGCTTTAATCGGGGCAGACAGTTTTTTTTTTTAGCGTAGTTATGAGAAAATAATTCATACGTACGACAAAAGTCGTTTATTTTTTATTATTCGGCGCTTTATGTTTGTTTTTTTAAATTTTGAGTAGGGAAACAGTCTGGCCGGTACAGTACGAAGAGATTCCCACAGTCTGTAACGTTCACGACATAAATCTGATTACACGAACGCACCAAGCGAAAACAATTAGTCCTATCAAAACCGCGATATGTCAAAAGGGGAAGCACCTTCAAACACGCTCGGGCCTCTTGCTTCTTGATTTTCCAACCGCTGATTTTGCTGCCTTTTTACGACACAGTCTCAGTAACTTTAAATGCGGTGAAATTTTGTTTAAGTCGTATTATAATACTACAAAATGTGTACTCGCGGGGACAACGTTGAAACTGTCTTAGCTGATCCCGAATCGTTGTCTGTCGGAAAAAGGAAAATACCTTCCAGGTTCCTTCCAGTTCAAGAATGTTGTTTTTATTGCGTCCTTTCATCGTGAGTGAGGAACTCATCGAACTTTCTACTGCGGTCTAGCTTCAAGCCCATTCACACCTCAGAGAGAGCGAATGTAAACCATGTAGCCATGCGCACCATACCCTGTCTCACCTCAAGTCCGGACGCAACCGACGCTCCGAGCTGATGAGGCCGATCAAACAACATGAAAAGTGCACCAAAACGGTGTTGACTTATCAATTTATTTTATGAATTTGCCTCAAAGGCGTAAGCCTTAAAGAGAAGGAAGTTGATGCACCCAAATTGACACAAAAAATAACACATGCGAGAACATGTTAAGCGTTAGTTAGATAATAAGAATCCCGAAAACAAGCTCACTTGAGATAAGCTTACAGAAAAAACGCGTTTCTTCGGTGAGCTTTTCTCCACATCCGTCAAAAGACCGGTGTACTTTTCTCCGGATCGGACAGTTTTGCGGTGAGCTTATCTCCGGTGAGCTTGATCTCCGGTGAGCTTTTCTCCGGTGAGCTTTTCTTCGGTGTGCTTTTCTCCACCGCCCAAATGATAAAACGGTCTGAGGCGCTTTTTTTAAAAAAAAATTATTTATGATTGAGATTATGGGAACGGAAAGCTGGTTTCAGGCCCACACTGTAGATAATATAAAGGAGTGGTAAAATAAATTGGTGCGAGCATATGAGACGGCAACTTCGTCATATTCCCGTGCGTGCTCTATCATCGCTGAACCGATCATGTACAGAGAAGACACAGTGACTTGCGCTTTTGACGTTGTTTGCTCGGTACAATCCGCTCGTATTGTCGGCTCCGTCCAATCTTAAGGTCCAACGCACAAAAAAGAAAAATGAAACAAAGGGACATTACCTGGACGCGAATAAAAAATCGGTTTTCCCAGGCAGTTGCAAGAACTCGAGGCCAGGATAATTATGGACAGTCATGGTCCGGTGTGGCTGCCTTCCATCTGTCATTCGAAGCGGGGGAAAAAAAAAAGAGAAAAAAGGCTGGACGTAGTTGCTCTTTGTGTAGCTCTGCCGCGGAAAAGATTACACAGCGAGGATGCATCCGACAGGACCGCCATTGGAAGGCAACGATAAGCAGGCACTAGAGTGGGAAGAGTGATTGACGGTGGTTGGCCGAGTAATGGCGTTCTGCCCGCTTTCGGGAGAAAAAAAATATATACAGTTTGAGTATGCCGTTGCAACGCGAATAGGGTTAGATGGTATTAGAGGTACAAAACACGATTTCGGGAGAGAGTGGAATTTCGACGAGTTACGTGAAGGGGAAATAAGCATGCTACATACTCGCGGACAACTTTCAGTGGCTATGCGGTCAAAGGTGCGGGGAGACACGTACTCAAACGCTGATTAACGCTGTTCACACGCAAAGATATATAGCTGCTTCTGCCTCTACTCCCACTTCGAAGTCGTTGGGTTGCCAAACGCCGGCCTCCATCGTCCCGCCTTCGCATTCGAACGCGCTATAACAGTAAGTAGAAATACAAGCAGCTAGCTTTACGTCTACCCACAAAGTTCTCGTTATGTCGTTGCGAGGGGATTCGCAAGCCGCCCTAAGTGTCAAGAATGCCGGAGATTGACGTCAGTACACCGCCAAGCCGCAAACGCGTCCATCTCGGCGTCGCCGTACACCGGCATTGAGAGACAGCACCAACGCGGCGGTGCTACAGGCATAAACTCAGGAAGACAGCGAGTCTTATCTTCAGGGTGGTGTATGGCTCCAAAAACTGCAGCCAGTGGCACCGCTGTGCAACAGGCGTTTTTAACTGTTAACATGTCGCTCGGTGTGTCTAGCTAGAGATAGATAAACAGAAAGACATCTTCCTTGATTTTATTTTCCAGAACAAGGACTGACCTTTTTTGGCGGCTGGCGGCATGAAGCTTCCGAAAGGACAAGGCAGAGGAGAGAGCAGGCATCGGTTCCTTTCGTCTTTGACTGGCATCGCAAAAACGTTTCCTCGGGACTCAGTGAGTTCGCATCATTTGCATCTGCTATTGCCTTTGGAATACTTAGTTACGCTGTAAAAGATGGCGGCGACGTGTCTCAATCTAGAGCTCAACAAAGATTCTAGTTGATGAAGTTAAAACGATCCCTGGTGACTTCATTTCTTACATTTTAGTTTATCTCTCACTTTGAATTAAAGAGCTAACACAAGGGTCGAGCGTCCACTAAGACTTAACTTCAAAGAGAATAACTAAGGCTTTACAAGAGACGAAACTTGCCTGACTTGTTTCTTGCACCATAATGGTCATTAACGAAAAAATGAAAATTTAAAATTTAACGAAAATTACGACGGCTTCTTTTATAAGTATTAATTTAAACTCGACATTCAATATAGCGTTTGTTCTAAGGCTCCTTCGTGATATTTCAGGTCTGTCCTACAATTTTAATTTTTATGTTTTCCTTTTCTTAAAGTTCGATAAAAACCTCCAAAGCACAAAGTTGTGAAAAGTTTGTCTATGTTTACTTCTTTCGGAGATCAAGTGTCATAGGTTGAAATGTGGTGTACTGCTCAGTCGCAAACTGGTTCCAAGTTTTAAGCCACTCAAATGTTTTTAACTTTCAACTATTCGTGTTCAATGCATTTTAATGTCCCGATAGCTGAGCATTTTATGATAGTACGAAAATGCTTTTTTTATTGTTTTCATACTTCAAACCTTTTCTTTGTGATGCGTATAAAAAGCTCGCCAGTAAAAGTGTAGCTACGCCTCGTTCGCTCATAGCTATTTACTTAACATAATGAAACCTAAAATCAGTTCGAAAATTAGTTCAAAAATACAGGCTACATCGCACGGGCTATGCAAACGTTAACCACACTTTGGTGTTGCTTTCATATGAGTAATTCGGTGCCTGTTCTTCAATCAACTAAAAAAAGGAAAGGATTGTTATACATCCCAAACGAGATTCTTCATTAAATACTACAAAAAACAAATAGTGTCGAGATGTTCCTCCACACCCGAACGCGCCCTAAAGGGCAATTAAAATAACATAGTTTTTTAATTAAATAAAAAAATTAACAAAACATACAACGTGGAAAGGTTCTGATCGTCTTAAAAGTACTGCGCTTCGGTAAAATTTGTTTAGGAGGAAAAAAGAGCAAGAGAGAAAGGTTAGCCTCGCGAGCTCTGACATGCCAGTGGGTGCTCTCGTTCGACGCTCAGTTGTCGAATTAACTTACAGTTTCTCCTCGCGAACATACACGAACTAACGCTTGTAATGTCCAAGGCTTAGAAGAAAAAAAAAAAAAAAACGGATGCGCGAAATGTTTTACACGCAGAAAAGAAAGAAGAAAATAGATGGTGCTATGGAGAATTTGGCAGCCTTGAAATAGCGCCGGCTACTCTATTTACACGCAGATAAAATTGATTTCTGCGAACGCGCAGTACCCGGAGCTCTTATCATCCATTTGATCCACTCAGAAAGAATGATAAGGCGCATGACGCCAAAAATCATCTACTAATCACCGGTATAAAAACAATACCACAAGCAGAGAAGATATTTTTTCTTCTGCCGTCACCTGTCACCGACATCCATGCACCGGCAGCAGCCATACACAACTTAACACGGGGACCGAGGGCTCGACCGAGAATTCTGATCGGTGTCGTACCAAGCTGCAATAAAAACAAAATAATGAAATGACTGAGTAGAATAAACCGGCATCCCGACTTCGCTGACCTCCCTCAATTCTTCGCCCCCTGCTTCCCTATTTGGTTCCCTCGGATTAATGTCCCGAAGCCGCAGAATTGAGAATGACCGAGTCCCTCTTCTAAAATGCATGAGGAACTGCTCGGCGCGCTCCGAGTCGCTGGGCCACGGCGCATCAATCCTTCACGCTGTGCTGACTCCAAATCCGGCCGTGCTGGGAATCACCCGCCAAATCCAGGTTCAAAGCGAGGGGGATCTCCAGGGGCCTCCCTATACGCGGGATGTGGGGAAGGCGGCCTTGTTGGCTTGGGGAAGTGAAGGGGATCAAGCACGCAGGTTGCCCGAGGTCGCTAAGGGAGTGAATCCCCAGCTCTGTTATGATGCCGGAAGAATTAGAGAGGTTTGGGTGTAATGGGGAATGGAGAGGGAATAATATTCCCCAAACTCATAGCAGCTATGCTGCTGGAAAGGGGGGGGGGGGGGCACAGAGTTTACGATTTATTTGGGATGCAACGAAGCCTTTTTCTTTGCGATTGTTGCAGTAAGTAATCGTGAGCAACCCCATGCGCTGTCGTAAAGTGGGAAGGAGAGTAAGGTTTAGCGTTGTTGGCGATAAAGCGGTGGGATATGTTTCCCGAATGAGCTAAGGAGCTACAGGGAAGGTAATGTTTGTTGCACTCCTGAGGCTCCCTTGCTTGTTATTTTCCTCTGCGATTTTTAAGCTGAACAGAGTAAACTTTTACTGGCGTTTCGGGAGTAGAAGAGTGTAAGAGCCTAAACAATATAATTTTTGAAAATAAAATAGAACAAATAATTTTTTTTTTTATTTTTAGGGCAAAATAAAAAGCAGATTTTTTTGTGACAAAGTGTTAGGGAGGCGTATTTGGTGATGCTTCACGCAAGGTATCTTGGTTTGTCTAGCGCTAAGCCCTCGAGATGAAGTGCAGGCGCTGTAAAGCAATCACAAGTTCAGCCAAGTGCTCTTAGAAGTGCGAAGTACCCGAATGTCTGCCAAGAATACCGGAAAATGGTATACTTGGCATGTCCCCTTCGAGCCCCGTGCTTGGTCTCACTCGATGCAGCCAGCCCAACATCTCAGATAAGTTAGCAAGGCCCAAGTGCTGATTTTTCTACGTCACCCTAAGAAGTCAACGCGGGGCACGAGTTCGACTCGAGTACCGGGTCGGCGTTCGGCTGGGATTAGTAATCTCGTTGATTGAACAGGAGCCCCAGCGGTACGCTGACGCAGTACTCGCGTCCAATCCCGTGTCGGCCTCTTTAGGGTGACGTAGAAAAATCAGCGTTCCGGCCTCGCTGTCTACAAGGTCTTGGCTGGCCTCCAATGTTACGGGGAGCAAAGGAAAAGGGGGCTGGAGACTTCAGACTCTAACCCGGAGATAGCGGCCCTGAACTTCTTAAGGATTGCGGAGCAGCCTTAATGGGGGGGTAGGGAAGCCGAAGTCCTGGCCGAGGTGTGAGGGAGAGTGAGACGGTGTTTCTGTGACGCAATATACTCGAAGATGGGCATTTCGTTTTCGTCGTTGATCCATGTCGTCGCTGAATATTGTATGAGCGATAATTTTTTTTTTCTTTTTTGCTGCGTAAACGGCCGTCGCTGCTGTCGCCTCTCTCGGTGGAGGCCGAGTGCGAAGTACCGCGTTGCTCCGTAGCGTTGTGTCATACCCGTATACCTTTGTAAAAATTGGGAATAGCTTTTTTTTCTTTATTTTTGTTGGTTGTGCGGTACTGGAGGGAATGCGCATAGCCCCAATTCCACTGCTCATACACCGTGGAAAAGACACAGTGTTTACTGCAGACATGATGAGACAAGCCTCAAGCATAGATGTCCCAAGCCTGTTTGCTTTACAGATAAGTATGCTTCAAACACGTCTAAAGACGGTTTTCCAATGTTCATTGTAGCAGGGCCGCCATGCCAGAAAGATACTATTGCGGGCTCTCTTAACTATGACACGGTAGCCATGGCCGCTCCGTGCCCCCAGCGCCACATAGCGGGGGAACTCGGAGAAACGGCGCCTACACCGCCTACCCTGTGCGGCGGGATTTCCCTTTCAGGATGCGATAACACTCTCTCCTTGTCGTGTGCTAGGCGCAAAGCAGGCGCCGCCACAGCACTTGCCGATGTTTGCTTCCCAAACTTCTGTTTGGGCGTCTCTTTCGGTACGGAAGTTACCTGACTCGTGGGTGCGAGCCAGCCACAAGTCCATACCGAGCTAAGCATAATTAACGCAGCAACTTTGTCACAAGTAAAAGGCATGAAGAGGCGTCCGTCTGATTAAAAAAAAAAACAATAAAAATATATATGCAATCATCGGCAACGATTATGCTTAGCCCGGTGTGTCCCCATCGTTGGTTGCTTGGCTGACTCGTTTCCGTGAGCCAGGGAATCACCGTACCGAAAGGGGCACCCGCAAAAGCCCCAGCATCGGCAAGTGCTGTGGCAGCGTCTCTACTTTGTGCCTCGCAGGGGACAGGGAGAGAGTGTGATCGCCACCTGGGAGCGTAATTCCGCCGCACAGGGTAGGTGGGGTATGTGCGGTGTTTTGCGAGTTCACCTGCTAGTTGGCGCTGGTGTTACGGAACGCTCAAAGTCATTTATAGGGGAAGGGTCTGGACACCTATTTCCCTCGGTGACCTCTCGCCGTACCCTCGCTCCTCCCAGACTCCTCCCATAGAACTGACGTCAGTCCTAGTAACTGCCTAGCAACAGCAAACCACGGGGGAACTGCGGGGGCCTGTCCACTATTACCGATCCCAGGTCAAGACGCGCGTGCCATGCAGTTCCTCATGGTACCCTGTGTACAGACCTTTATTTTTGAGTGTTCTGGTGAGAAAATGGTCGGTTGTTGTGCGGGTGGATGTTATAATCACCACCGTCACAATTTTTGTGTTTTTAAAATTCTAGAAAAGGAAGACGAAAAAAGTCTGCAAAATATGGTTGAATAACATCAAGCGCGACAATTGTCCTATACATTTACCCTATATATGGCTCTGGGAACGGCCAGCGCCATATATTGAGAGAGTTTGGTCAAGGGCAGGAGCCGGCGGGAGCCGGGGTGGAGCGGCGAAAGCGTCCGCCGCCAGCGCCGCATATTTCCCCCGTGATGATCTCGCGAAGGGAAATAAAGTCGAGATAAACTTGAGAGCCGCGTACCGCGGCGCAGATATTTTTTTGTTTCTGGATGATGCTAAAAGTACATGAATGAATAATTGTAATGAATTGGTGGGAATAAGGAGTATCAAAATGCTGAGTGCGTTTACATAGTCAGGTAAAAGTCACATTGACGAGAAAAGCCTTTTTGAA